TTCATTCTTAATTTAAGGCTACCTACCTTAATTTAAGGTACCCTATTTCAAACAATTATTTAGGTGACAGTAACAGTAAAACTAATTTATGTTTTATATTAAGATTATGTTATTAAGCTAATTCTGTAAATAATAAGTCAATTTGACGATCCATTATTTTACAATTTTAAAAAATTAAGAATATTGAAGTTTTTTTCAATCTCATGTAAAACAATCAATTTTTAAAATTTTAGTCATTTTAAGAGATTTATGTTTCTTGGATTATTGTAAACAAAAGTTAGTATGGATTTGAACGTCAGTTTCTTTTATTGATTTTTAATAATTAGTTTTCAAACTAAACCTGGAAAAACCAAGGAATTGTTTAAAATATTAATTTAAAAGTTTTTTGAAAAAATATCTAGAGATTTCATACCTAAATCCATACTTACTTTTATAGAACAAACGTTTGGGAGTATATACAAAAAAATTTTCAAGACTCTACCTTGAGCAGAAAAAAAGCCTTAAAGATTAAAAAGCACGTATATCTTCAAAATTTAAAGTCTGAGAAAAACGGATTTAAAGTTCGTAACGCGGTATAAAACAAAACCTATAATGCCTGTAAAGCTCTAATTTTTTAATATGTTACTTTAAAATTTGTTCCATATTAAACAATTACTTTAATTAATTTTGACTGGAAACATTTTTTTTTTTAAATTCAAAATATATTTTTGCATAATAATTGTAGTAATTGTTGCAACGACTGTTTATTCGGCTTAATCTTAACCTAATATTTGCGCAAACGTTCTGAAACTTAAAGCACTTATCTCTCTCTCTACACAATATAATATAATACTATTAACTTAAGCTAAAACTCGCCAGCTTTGTAAATAATATATATATATATTTATTCAGTTTTAAATTGGGGCAATTTAGCAAGTTTGAGTATTTGTTGCACGACTTTAAAATACTATAATATAGTGCTGCAGTACGTTTACTATGGTACATGTCAGAAATATTCAGTTTTATCTACAATACTTGTACTCAGAATACTTGTATTTGGAAACCTAATTCCAGTATCAACTGAGGGCGTATTTAGATTTAGTAGTATTCTCTCCCTTCGAAATATGTTGTTTCTCATAGCAACTTGAGAACGTTTGAGTCATGTTATTATTTCAGCAGGAAAAAATTTATGATAAAGCTTCTAAGTTATATAAACTGTTTTTAAAACAAAAATTGGCCTTGAAGTCAATCTGAATTCAGTAACTATGGAGCTCAAAAACTCAAAGCATATAATCAAACAGAAATGATTTTAGTAATTGAAATTGAAATTAATAACCATTTCTCACTGAAAGAGTTGATTGTACTCAAAAATTTTTTTAAGTAATTAAATTTAAGAGTGGAAAAATGCTTTTTTAAAAAAAATGAAACCGAAACTATAACCAAAGCTCAGAAAACTTCAAATGTCTGAATAAGTAATTTGTATCAGATCTGAAATTGGGTGCCTGTCTATACAATGATATGGACCAAAAGAAAATGCAAAGGAGTTTTTCGGTATATTTGATATTTGTAGGGTATTGTGTAGCCTTAAAAATAATTTAAAATTTAATGCCGATTTGATTTACTGGTTTGGATACGTAAAAAAAAGCAAATTGTAACAGATAAAATATTTATATTAACATAGATATATTTTTAGATCACTGCATGCATATTTATTAGGTTCAGAGAGATCATTAAGATGATTCTAAAACACTCTGTTATTCATTTAAGTAAATAATAATTTGTTTCAATTTGTCACCGACTTTTTTTAAATATTTTCTTCTTAGTATTTTTTTTTCACACATTGCCAAAAGTCCTATTTATCTAAATTTTAGGGTGATTATACCATTATGTGTATATTTCTATAAATCAATTATTCAACTTCTAGCACAGTTACAACATAACTTATGTTACACGGAAAACCTTTATTGTTATTGATTTCATTTTTGAGTGGTTACCTACTTCGAAATATTTGATTCTTTTATGTGTGTGTGTGTGTGTGATAGCCCATTGCTTAAGAAATCGTTGCCAACATTGTCATTTCTTGAGTTCGAAACCTGCCATTGAAGACCCGCCGGGTAGAGGGAATGATGAACGTTATATCTGTCTACCTCGAGTTCCTGACCATGACCACTATATACTGAAGAGAAATGATAGAATTTGTATATAGTAATAAAAAAATTGTTCATGTGTAATAATACTCATATTCAATAAAAAGAAGAAATATGATTTTTCCATTATCTTAATGATTTCTATTTGGAATTAAGTGCTTCTACAAAATAACATATTTTTAATTCACAATAAATATTTACCGGATTATAGAAAAATAATAAATTTAAATTCCAATATAAAATGAGTTTTAATAGAAAACATATTTTCCATTTCATACTAAACGTTCTTTTTAAAACATATTTTTCATTTTTATTAAACATTTCTTTCGAAAAACCGTTTTCAATTTTTGTAAAGGAATTAAAATTTAACACCAAAAAATACATTGAATTTTTTAAAATCTCTGGGTAGTATGTTTCAAATAAGTAAAAAGAGTATTAAAACATACTTTTCGAGTACCAAAAACGGCGGGTGCATTGATTAATCGAAGTAGCAATGCTACTTCCACAAAATTTCTTCTTTTATTTATTTATTTATTTCATTTATACTTATCGTTCTCTACGATTCCTTTTCAGAGAAGAATTAAGATAAAATGTTTTCGTTTTGAATTTTTAATAATGTTTATTAATAAAATGTTTTCCCTTGTGAATCGAATCTTTTTTCTTTTAAGTAAGTAATATATAAAAAATTAAGTCAATTCCAACTCAGATCAACAAATAAAAGTTTTATTGAAGTGAACACTTCTATAGTCGCGTCGGGCACTTTTTAATAGGGGAAAATCGTATGGGTTCGCGTCACCGACATGCTCATGACTGGCGCACGCGCAGTTTGCTGTGCGACATTGTTATAGCAGCATATTTGCAGCTGTACAGCTGACGTATAAGTGCTGTGTATATCTTATAAGTGAAATTGAATGGATTTTGTGAGAAGTTCAATGTGTATATACTGTGCATTGTTGAAATAGTGTTTTTGTTTTATTATTATTTGAATCGTTTAATTAAAAAATCATTGTGCAGTACAATAGTGAGTACTAAATAAATATACTAATATTTTTAAGATAAAAAATAAATAACAGAAAATTATTTTAAGTACTCGTATTTATTTTGGCGTTTGAAAATTTTGTGTATTATTTATTTTCTAATATTTAATCTCTGCAATGCATTACGCAATCCGTATTATTATTTCACAGTGGCTTAGACGTTCTTTTACTCTACCGTGGTAAAACAGACTTCTAGTTGTTCAATCATATTTTTATCGTAAGTTTTGAAATTAAAAATTTTTTAAAATATAATAACTCAAGATTAATGTGTTGAAGTTTAAAATATGGTTATTAATGCAAAATTATAGTTTATTATCTTATACATTAAAATCTTTAGTGTAAAATAATAAAAATGGCCCCGACCTTAATTTCATTAAATATTTTATTTTATTTAAAAATTTAATATTTCGAAATCATTATTTATTAATTTAAATTGTCAAAAATAAAATATGTGCTTTGCTATTTTTTGCAAAATGATTATCTATAATTTTATATCATTCGATTTTATTATTAGAAATTTACTTTTTTATTTGTACAAAAAAGGCTATCATCACGATATTTTGATCAAAAATATCTACTTAATTTAACATTTTGCAACATAATAATAATAATAATAATAATAATTTGTAGATTTAAACATCTAGAAATTATCAGTTGAATTAAAAAAATAAATAGAGAAAAAAAAGGGTCAGAGACAGATGGTCGGTATCACATTTGAATCGAGCAGCATGTAAAATCACTGTATTTATAGTTTAAAAAGAAAATACTTTATAATCTTTTATAATATATAATAAAAGTTACAGCTACAAATTACATCGGTGCAAAATTCCATGTTTTAGAAAAACAATAAATAGCTTTTCGACAAAGTCGATGCAGTACGAATATTACAAGAGAATTTAATTGTGTGTGTGTGTTCCTCTGTGTGTACGAAATACTAATTCCTCAATTTACTTTTATAATTATTCTTGACAAGTATGAATGTACATACTGTTGAATATAACATTTTAGAGGAATAACATTAATGAAAATTTGAAAACTCTAGAGCACACACACACATTTAACCCTGTCGAACTCTAAAGTTGGTGAAACAATTCAATTTAATAGTTAATAGAAGACAAAAAAATAAATAAAAAAGTACAACAAAATAGCAACAAAAAAGTGTCATGTTAAAATATTAGACAATTGTGTGCGTGCGCGCATCGGTGTCGTGAAGGTATATGCACGTGCATCGTAAATATTTACCTTCATCCTTTTTCCCTAACGACCAAACAAAAGGATAACTTCAAAAATAAATATACGAATACAAAAGGCACTTTTAAGTTGCTACAATTTAATATAAATGTGTTTATGTTCATCGCAATGCGTTCGTAGTAACTACATCTATAATCATATACTTGCAATTGTTATTTAAATAGGTAAACTAATATTTACTTTTGTGTTTTATGTAAATGAAACACACAATTTAAAGATTAATTTATTAATTTCTTTTTTTTTAATTTCCTGAAGTATGTTTCGTTTAATAACAAAAAATGTTCAAATAAATGCATCACAGAGAAGCTCCGTAGGCGAAGGACGATCTCTCCCTACAAGTAGTTACGTCACAAATCAGCGCAAAGAAAAGGTTCGCAGACACGAATAGCTCATTGGGAAAGCATTCGACTGCTAATCGAGAGGTCCCTGGTTCAAACCAAGGTGCCCCCTTCTTCAGGGAAAAAAAGAGAAATATTTTTTTGAGAATTTCGAAGGGGCGGGAATGATCTATCCCATTCTGTATATTTTTAATCAAAGCATTTTCGTATTCGTGCCTACGGAACTCAAAGCAAAGGTTAGCTAACGCGGGGGTATAGTTCAGTGGTAGAGCATTCGACTGCAGATCGAAAAGGCCCCAGTTAAAACCCGGGTGTCCTCTTCTTCAGGGAAGTGAAGAGAAATATTTTGTTTGAAATTTCGAAAGCGGGAATGATCTATCCCATTCTGTATATATCTAATCAAAGCATTTTCGTATCCGTGCCTACGGAACTCAAAGCAAAGGTTCGCTAACGCGGGGTTATAGCTCAGTGGTAGAGCATTCGACTGCAGATCGAAAGGTCGTCGCGCGGTTAAAAATCGGGTGTCCTCTTCTTCAGGGAAGTGAAGAAAAATATTTTGTTTGAGAATTCCGAAGGCGTCAATGATCTGTCGCGTTCTGTATATTTCTAGACAAAGCATTTTCGTATCCGTTCCTAAGGAACGCAAAGCAAAGATTATCTGACGTGAGGATATAGCTCAGTGGTAGAGCATTTGACTGCAGATCGAGAGGTCCTCCGTTCAAACCCGGGTGTCCTATTCTTCTGAGAAGTGAAGAGAAATATTTCTTTTTGAGAATTTCGAAGGTGGCAATGTGATTTGTCCCATTCTGTATATTTCTAGATTAAGCAAAGGTTTATATTACGCGGAGCTATATATAGTTCAGTTGTTGAGCATTCGACTGCTGATCGAGAGGTCCTCGATTTAAACCCAGGTGTCCTCTTCTTCAAGAAATCGTAGAGAAATATATATATATATTTTTTTGAGAATTTCGAAGGCGGGAATAATCTGTCCCGTTCTGTATATTTCAATGCAAAGCATTTTCGTATGCGTTCCAATTGAACGCAAAGCAAAGGTTCGCTGACACGAGGTGTATAGCTCAGTGGTAAAGTATTCGACTGCAGATTAAGAGTTCTCCGGTTCAAACCAGGGTTTTCCCTTCTTGAGGGAAATGAAGAGAGATATTTTACTGATAATTTTGAAGGTAGCAATGATCTGTCCCGTTCTGTATATTTCGAGACAAAGCAATTTCGCATCCGTGATGGTGTGCGTCACTTCCGTGACGGTTTTGCGTCACATCCGTGACGGTGTGCGCGCAAATCGTAAAATTTCACCCTCATAGTATTTCTCTAATGCCCCAAAAGAAGTATAACTTCAAAAATCTTTTTATATGTAACTGTGAGAGAGAGAGAGAGAGAGATAAAATAATATGTGAATTGTAATCCAATCCTTTTTAACACGCTGTTATAAGCTTCACTTGTCTGAAAGCAATTTCATTGTCATGCTAAATTACACAACTCGAATAGAGAAGGGGAAAATATAACATATCAAATCGTAATTTTTTCTTAGTAGGGACACGTAACATTTATTTAAATGAATTATACTTTCCGAAAATATGTTTCTATGATTTCTCTTCAATAAATGCAACTCTGCTCATTCCACTCGTTCGAATAATGAAACGTTTCATATGCTTACAGATCTCGTACGCATGCGTCACACTACTTCTACATTTAGGTTTTGTTTTAATATATCTTATGCGATGCGAGAGATGAGAAAAGAGAGAATCAGTCTTTCAATCTTCGATTTAAATCTTGAATTGCCTTACGCACTTTGTTCGATTTAAAAAAGAGAAAAAAAAATTCACTTGAAAAAGATAAAAACAAACAAAAGATATTACAAAACAATGATTATAACCAAAAAAATCCGTATATTTTTTTTGTTATAATCATAGAGAATGCGTAATAAATAATCGTTTACTTCTCATCTGATATAAATCTGCAACATAAAGTTAGCGTTCAAAATTATATTTAATGCACTTAATCGCTAAAAGGGTCTGTGAGAGGAAATAATGCAATTTAGAATCAAAGTAAATATTATGTCACACTGTAAAGTTGCACGTGAGCTACTGGTGACGAACCTCGTAATTTTGAACCTTGTTGACGAGGAAGACACCTGAGCTGGCACCCTCTTTCCTAGCTTCCATACCACAACACGGAAGGACATTTGAGCCTCGATATATGTAACGTGCATCATCCCGCGATGCTCGACGGGTCTTCAGTGGTTCTAGGCTCGAACTCATGACATGCCAGCTCGAGTCCGTGATCTTGGCCTCTAAACTACCCCAGTCTCTGAATATTTCAATTAGTAAAATATGAAAAAAAACTTCATTTTTAACAGGTTGTGTATTCTAAAATTTCTGTTTTCCTATTTTCTATGTTTTGCCGCAACTAACACATCTACGAATGCATTGATACGTATGCGCTTAGATACGAAGATGTTTAAAAAATATTTGCACACAATGTTACAGACAATATATATATTTGTTGATATCGAATGTGATCTTATTTTCTTTTCAAGAGAAATGCGACACCCCGACGGAGGCGAGAGCCTAGAAATGCACACAGGAGCGTATACAAAAGAAATAAATACACTTTTCTATTGTTTTCCAGTTCATTGTTTTGAGAAAACACAGAGATACCCCGAGTCGGGATTTGTTTCGTGCAATAAATATGTGCTGTTCTGTTCTCGAAAATACGATTTTAGTAATATTTACTTAATTTGAGAGATTTCAAATGCACTCTGGATCGACCTACTTTACGAATACACTTCGGAGTTGTGAAGAGATCGGTGACCATCCGAGATCGTATAATGAGAACACGGCTGCGCGACGAGGGCGTCCGCACGCCGTTCATTCCGATGAGCGAAACACCAATTTCTATTGAAAGAAACGTTTTTATAAATCTTATTCGACGTGACGAATTTTTGGTGATCCAAACTCTGCCAAAAATGCGGATTGTTGCTCGGAGTGTCAATAGATGTGAAAACCAGATTGATGTTGATAATTTTAATTCAAACATTATGAAATTTCAAATTTTAATACTACTTCTATAAGTTTTCACTTCTATTGACAATTTCTCTATAACTGCCATTTTTTAGAGGCTTTTTTATAGAAAAATAGAAAGTTCCCGGCAATCACACACACACAAATATCAAAATACAAACTGACAACGGAATTTTTCGATTAAATGTTCAAAATATCATATCTAAGAATTGAGGTGGATTTTCAGTGGACTTTTCCATAGAAATTGAAATTTGAATGTTTGAAATCGGAATTTCATATGAACATGCACATTCTTTCTGTGACTGTTCACTGGATTAAAACTTAATTGAGTAACCCCTTATCACCCGAAGATATTGAAAGTATTTTCAATATCTTTTCAATCAATTCAATATATCTTCAATTTCTTCAATCTCACTTCAATATGAAGTGAGTTTTTTGGAAAACAATGGATGTTTTCGGAAGGGAAATAGATACATCAGTGTAATATGAGTTTCTCTTGTATATAAATGCTTTTATTTCAAAAACAGAAAACTCATTGCAAATGTAAACTTATAACAGTTTAATAAAAAAAGGGAAAACAGACAGACTATTTATTTTAAGTTATGGTTTTATTCATTTGTATGTTTTTAGATACATTTTCAAAAACAAAGTGCTGCCAAATTTTATCATTAGAAACTCATGAACTTCAAAAATTCTCTAAAATCCACACTTCATATTAATGTATATTTTTCTCTAAATATATTTGTCTAAAATTTCACACTTCTTATACGTTCCTAATATTTATGTTGAAAAAATTAGAAACGAAACAAAGTACGATTTTTTTTATAGCAAATAATTAATAAAGTACATTAATGTGTGTAACCATTTTCTGTGAATATGTTCAAGAAAGATTTGTTCTAGAAATGAGAGAATATTTTCTGAAATAAATATGTAGATATAAATAAAATTGTCCCTGTGGATTTGTTTCTATTTGTTTTTTTTTTCTCTTGAAAATTCTGTTGTTATGTAAAATTAGACATAATTATTTAGATGTCACTCATCTGAGCGATAAGTACATCACTGATTAGAAGTCTATTCTTATTCTAGGATTTCAGTGGGACTGAACTAAACTTTATAACACCTAGACAGCTAAATTCTTAATTAAATATTTCTATGATCAAATTCAATTACGCATCAATTTAAATAAAATTCATAATAAAAATTAATTATGTATGTGTCACACACACACAAGGAAATGTGCATAAAACTGATACAATAACGTATTCTGCTGGTTTTTTTTTTTGTGAATCAATTCCCACAGTACACTTTTATGCAGTACATCTAATTCAGATAAATTCTTGTTCGAAACTGGATAAAACTTACGGTTTTATCCACGTAAATTGAAAAACCATTCTTATAAATAAAAATAAATAATACTTGAAATGGGTTTAATTTGATGTGGTTCAATATTAAAAAAAATTATAGAGTATCCAATTACATTTTAATGCTTTTTGACATAAAATGAGAAAAAAATTTATTATTTTTCCGATTCTTAATAAAAAATTTTTATGAAAAATAACTTTGAATTATTTTACTTTAAAATGACTTTAATATAAAAATTTTCAAATAAAATCTTTTTTTTAAAAAAGAGAGAGAGAGAGAGAGAAAAGATTTGATTCTTGGAGGTTTGAAAAAAGCGAAAATATTACCCTAATTCTTCTCTGAGAAGGGATTTAAGAGTACGATAAATAAATGAAAAAAAAAGGAAGTTGTAATAAATCATGGTCCATTTTACTTATTTTGAAACATACTACTCAGAGATAAATAAAAAATTAAATGTATTTTTCAATTCCTACTATTAGTTCACTTTCTCCCTATCTACACTATTAAAATTCGTAGGTAAACAAAGATATGTATGTCGGTCGCCTTGTACGTATGTACAACTATTTTCTCACGAACCGCACGACGCAAAAACTCGCCAAAGATACCAAAAGATCGGAAATGATCCAAGAAATACGTCTTTACCTTGTTTATTCAGATATTGCAATTATAGTTAAAAAGATATTAATTAAAAACCTTTATTTTTCTCCTGCGTGTTGTTTCTTCCACCAAACAAAATGAAAACCCGAGAGGTGAGATTTTTTTTCTACATCCGACGTTTTTAAAACATGATCTAATTATATATATATATATATATATATGCATATATATATATTATATATATATATATATATATATATATATATATATATATATGCATGCAATCTGATTTGCATCTAATACCAAATGATTGAACTCTGGTG